GGAGATTACGAGAGGATAAATCGGCAACACAAATATCTTGAAGCATGTCTGGGTCAGCATACACTCTGCTGCTCATAAACAACAAAAGACCCATTAGCACACAAGCTCCAGACACAGCACTCAGACCCATGATTCAAAAAACGAGAGGGAGAGAGAGAATGAGAGAGAGAGAGAGAGATTAATTGGGGAAAGAATCGAAAAAATGGGACGAATTGTGGAAGGGAAGTGGGTGAAGTATTTATAATATAGCGTAGGAATAAATAAACAAATAAAGCAGGTCGTCATCATCATAGATTTGATTTTGAGAAAAAAGTTAAAAGTAAGTGATCCTTAAAAAGGTGTAGATAGTCGCTATAGTAAAAACATGCCTTTAGGCATGCTCGTTTATTGCATATCTCATTCACATTTATCTCATTCTTAACATTATATATTTATATCTAATTCAATTTTAACTTAATCTTATTACTTTTAGTATTATTAAGGCAAATTTGCTCCTAATATCACGACCTTCATCGAAGTTGCAATTTAATCAGAAACTTTTCACTTTTGTAAATTATATCACAATCTTTAATTAGTTACAAACAATCTGAAAACAGTATTTTCATAGAAAAAGTGATATGGTCGAACAACGAACTGAAGATTGTGATATAGTTTACACGGGATATGCAAATCGGTGTACCAATTTGCAACAAACTGAAAATTGTGATATAATTTGCAAAAGTGAAAAAGTCGTGATTAAATTGCAATTTCGAAAAATGTCATAATATTACGAGCAATTTTGCTTATTATTAATATAATTAAATAATACAAATCAATCATTCTTACACATCACATCAACTTTAAATCATGAACTCACATAATTTTTTAACTAACCATTACTTTATATCACTTCTCTCATACTTTTACATTAATCAACTTTAAATTTTGTTTTAAATATTATTTTAATATAAACTCAAAATCATATTAACAACTAGGCATACCATATCTTTTAAAATTTATCATGATTAAAAAAAAAAAACCTTTTTTTAAGCGGATTTATTTGTAAGTAAACACGTCCTTAATATTGTTTCTGTCACTTATGTCATATTCGTTTTCATAAAAAAATAAGGTTTATTAGTTCTTCCAACTCATTATCATTTGTCAATTTAATTAACGGAAATTAATGTTGATTGCAAAGTCATCAAATAAGTTTATTCTATTAAAAAAATTACATTATATATAGTCTTTTTTTTTTTTTT